TGGGGGTCGGATCAATAGTTTAAAGCGTACTTTTGATATCTGCAAATTTCTCTGAGAGGTAGAGTGCTGCTAAAATATTTCGCGAGCAAAAACATTGTATAATTACACAGAATGTTGACTCAACCCAGGTTAGATTTTGCAGTAATTCATTAACAGTACAAGAATGGCTCATGAAGTGTTTTTTAAGAAAACTGCTTCAGTGTGTGCACCAAGATCAGTGAACATTTCTGTGCATCTTTTGTGAATAAATGAACGGATTCATTATCGGTTATACTGTTTCACATCAGTTCTCTTTTTGCTGAAATACACAACTGAAGCCTTTTTAATGGGAAATAAAATAAATAAAAGTAACTCCACCTCTATAAATACAGAATGAATCAAAATGGTAATATTTTAACACTAATGCACAGCAATTAGTAGCAGCTTTTTATCTCATGGTAAAGATTTGCAATCATTTCGCCAGTTTCAAGCTTTTCATGCAACTGTGAGGAGCCTGAAGACAGAAAAGCAACAATAAAAGCAGATTTGCTCTCTCACATAGACAGCTGAAAAGAGAGCCACTCGTCATTACAACATTTATCATATCTTGCTGCCTAAACTGGAGTTAAGAGGCACGTCTGAGCTGACAACCACCACTTAAAAACTTCAAACGTGCTCTTACAGTGAGCTTTCAACCTCATCCAGAACCCCATTGGGAGTTTTCCATCAGAAACACACAGTTTGGTGGAGCAAGCGACAAAAATAACCTCCTGTGTGCTTAAGTATGTATGCTCCGAATGTTTACAACTTTTATGGTTTTATGGCCACACTTATCTCTCCCAAACCTCACAAATAACAGAGAGTCTACCTGCCATATGCCACTGAATACAAGTCATAAATCTATTAAGTGGAGCTATGATTAGATGATTTTACTCCAAGCTCACTGCACGAGCATCAGGTGGGCAGTTGTTCAATGGTCTTTTGTCGTTACAGCTTGTTTCTTGGCCTGGCAGCTGAGGACAGGAGGAGACAAGCAAGGCTGTCAGCAATAAAAGAGGGCTTGGAAAACAGCTTCACAAAGGTAAAAGCTCTTTTGGCAGCAGCGGTTCAGCACTTGACCTGCTGCGTCACTGACGAGGAAATGGAAATATTTTGAAACAGTAGATTTTTTTTGCTAATTGTGTCTGCAGAAAAACAAAGTGAACACTGGTTGTGAGGTTGTGTTTGCTGTACTTAACAACGACAAGTGAGTGAAAACAGTTTCGCATCTGCAAAAGAATGAAGTTTGCGTATTAAGAAAAAGAAGAAAAACCTTTTTTAGACACATCAAAGCTATGCACTGTAACATGAAGATAAACAGGAGCAGTCCAATGATAATTATACAGCGCAGAGATGCTCCTGTACCTCCAGCAAAACTGATGTCACCCTGTAATCAAGTGAGTCAAGAGGAAAGAATGTCTAATAATGGAACAGTATACTCTCACTCAGAGTGATCAAAACAGCAGTTTTCATGCAGCCAGTCACTGTCAAGAAGTGGAAGCAGACAATTACTGTTTGGGGTCTTAGGAGAGTAAAGGTTGGCACAGTGTGTGTCACTTGCTACAATACAACTCCTGTTAAACAGTGTGAAGGTGAGGGAGCCTGAGTTGTTTGGTTTGCTTCAGAATGGCTTTTGCTTTGATCCTGTGCACAGTAGCTCAACAGGCTGTGTGAGTTATCAGTTTACAGCAGATAACTGCTTCTGATATAAGGTTTTTTTTTGTTTTTTTTTATCAGACAATGATCATTTTTAAGTAGGAGCTGTTTTTACCTTGACATGTTTCGACTGTCACGTCAGTCTTCCTCAGAAACGTCACTGAAGTCTGTGGTGATATGTCTTTATCAGCCTCCAGGAAACCACCAGCTGATAAAGTGTGTCACTGTGTGAAGAGGCTCTAATTTTTCACACATATTTTTGCAAAAGCGTGACACGGTGCTTACAAAAGTCAATAAATGATCATACCAATGAAGCATCAACCCAAACAGAGAGGCTGTTGGTGTTACTGATGCGACTTCCACTTTCCCACAGGTGCTGGTAACAGGTGGGGGTCGAGGGGAGCGGGGAAGATGCCTCGCCATCGTGGCCGGCTGCCACAGCGGGTCGGGAGGATCATCTTCCGCCCAGCTGCTGATGCCCTGTTATCCCCGAGTCATTCATCACGGCTCGCTGAGAGGCAGATATGCGCTGCCCCTGAACCCCCCTTGCTCCTAGCATTCCTCACTTTCCCCTGTGGATCTCCAACGATGATAGCTGTCAGGACCGCACTGATGTACCTAAATATTCACCCAACATGCATTTGCATGTATTTGCAAAGCTGATTTGGATCTGTTGTCAAAGCTAAACCACATGTCATCCTTCATGTGTGCCTGTATGATCACTTCACTGAGGTTTGTGCTTTTAAAATCACTACATTCGGAACTTAAAGGGCCAGGCATTGTGTTGGCAAGTTATACCCTCTGAACTGCAATTCATGTATAATGTAAACTTTTTCAAAACAATCTGGAATACATGGATGTCCATTTTAGACTTGTATTACTTTTCAATACAGGCATTGGTTTCCATTGTTGTCCGTGAAGCATGAACATTTGTAGATGCCTAAAACTTGCATGAGTTGTGTAAACCATCAGTGTGAACCTCAAGTCTGAATAAATCTAGTTTAAGGTACATTATCATTGTATGTTAATACAGAATATTAACAGAACATCACAAAATCTCCGACTGCCTCTTAACAGCGACACAAGTTAAAGGCACCCTATGCAGTTTTTGACCACTAGTAGTGCTATGGAGCAGTGTTTTACTGAGCAGATCTCTGTTTATTTTTTATCTGTTGCTCTAATAGCACATCCACAAATAATGTCATGTGAGCAGACAAATGCTTCATGTCGAAGTTGATGTATTAATAGTAATAAAAACTAAGAGTAAATATAACTGTCTCACTTTAGAGACTGGGATACATGCAAACTTGTTTTTTTTTTACTAGAAATGATAATGCAACTTAAGCAATACGTCCGGCAAAAATGAAAAGAAACCAGTGGATGTCTGGATTGAGTGTTAAGGTACACGCTAGCAGTTTGCACTGGAGCTAACAACAACAATTAATGTTCTTACTTTTAAGGCTAATGTAATGAAAAAAACTCCCTAGTAACACTCACACACCCAGTGTTTTGACAGGAGTCTTCCTCAGCAGTGTGCTGGGTGGTTCCACATGACTCTAACATCTGTCCTGTACGTACTTGCCCTCCGACAACCTATTCGCTGTATAAAATATCGAGGAGATCAAGGTAATCCTGAGCCTGACTGGGGATGTACGTACTGACTGAAGCTGAGGTCAAACAAAGATGAAGTCACAGAGGGGGCAGCTCTAGTACACTTATTGACAGACCCTTTGGCAGGGTGGTTGGCAGTTAACTTCATGTCATTATTGATCAGGTGATTCAGCCGATTGATTGGGCCATTGTTGATGGATTGGAGGGAAAGCAGAAAAGCCCGGCAGAGCATCAATTTTGCAGCAGCGCTGGGGGAAGGGGATTTCTACACTATATTGGATTAAGCCATAAGTATAAAGTTAAGGTGCCGGCTTTAGGCTTTCATTTGAATGTTTGTCTATCCACATCAAATTAGATGTAAATAAACTTAAAGAGGCCAAAATGTAAAGGATAAATCAAAATAAACTAAAAGAAAGTGATTAATAATGGTCAATAATGGACACCCACAGGTGTCTTGTTTTCTGCAAAATCTGAACTACATTCATTTCTCAGTTTCTGATTCTTTCTGGGTTTTTGGCAGCAGTCTTCCCTTAAGCAAGTGAAGGACATGATCAGTTGGACTTAGGTAAGGTAGCTGAGCCAGTCAAGAACATTCAGCAATTAGACAATACAAATCTTCTTGGTTGCTGTCTGTATATATTTAGGACCAGTCCTGACACTTCGGAGGACTTAGAATAAAACAGACAACAAGTTGTGCACTGTTCACCATATATGGACACAAACAACCTCAAATTACAGCTGAAGGTCGACGCTTTCACCTCACTGTCATTCTTTCATTTTGTATCCAGTGTGCTGGAGTGCAGAGCCAAAACAATGAAACAAGTGCCACTGACCGACAGACAGCACTGGATACAGGCAGTAATCAGTCCATTAGCAAGGTAAAAGTGCATAGAAATTAGGCATATATAGATTTTCAGAACAGATTTGAAACACACTATAACCAAAAACTTTTCTGTATGTTCTTGAGAGACTCACATGCATGTACACCAGACAGGTCACAGGCAGAGTCATGAGGACGTCATGCTTCAGTGTCTTGCATATGGACACTGAGACAAGGACAAAGTGAACACAGTGCTTATGTGAACCTGAGACCACCCAGTTCCTGAGACAGTCTCTCAAGACAGCCGAACTGCTTGCATCAGATAAACAACCAAGGTCTATAATTCCAAAAGATAAAAACCAAGCCATGCATACACAACAGATGACTGATAGAAGCTTGTGCTTATTTTATGTGCCTGAAGAACATCGTAAAATTGCATAATGATGATACTGTAACCGGGAGAAATCACTCTAGTCTTAAAAAGTACCATAAAAGTACATATGAATGCAACAGTAGCCATAGCATGAAGTCCACATCAAACAAAACGGCAGGAACTTGCATTTTCAAATACTTGAGCTGAATCAATATAAATGAGGCTCAAATTAAACCCAATCTAGAGACGTTTCAGTCCACAGAGAGACATAAACATCTCCATGAGCCAGTAAGATCTTTGTTTTGCAATGTAGTTGTTTTTTCAGTATTTGATAAAAATGGGAAGAAACAGACATTTGCAAGACAAAGGCTTTCCAATACATATTTGTGTGTTGTACTTTTTTTTGGCAGTTGGGGGGAAAAAAGCAACATTTGCATCTCCTTTCAAAAAATGCAAACGCAAAGTGGGAGTCCCACTATAGCCACCACTGCACAGTAAGCCCCAGCCCCTCCCAGCTCTTACCACATTATAGCAGGACTTCTTGCCTGATCCAGTGAAGTGATACGGGTCGACTGTGTTGCACCTCAGCATGTACATCTTGAACATGTTGTTGAGGTGCTTCAGGGAGATGACGCAGACGGCTGAGTTAGGGGTCGGCTCCGGAGAGTTTGGCTTTCCCCGAGCAAAGGCAGCAAACAGCACGTCGTCACCCTCTTCCACCTTCAACTGTTTCTGCAGTTCGACGTCATTGCCCACCTTGGTGACGTGTGCTGCCTGCACGATGTTGAACACCTTCACATCTTCTGCGGAGCGTCGCCGCCTCTTATCGGTGCTGATGCACTCGAGGGGCATTTCCACATAGCGGCGAATCACAAGGTCGGAGGAGCACATGCGGACTATGCGGGTGTGGTAGGCCTGAGAGTCCCTGCTCACCCGCTGCACAGTCAGGAAATAGGTGAAGGGCCCACTGTGGAAGGAGTAAACATAACGCAGGTAGTAGTTTCCACGTAGAGATGGAATCAGGTCCATGTATGACAAGTTGGAGAAGAAAGTGAAACCATTTTGGCTTGTCTTCATCTTCCGCACAGAAATGGTGTGTGGATGAGTTCCACTGCCTGACATGTTTCCTGTGCCTGGGATCTCTGAGTTTCCAACAAAAAACTTGATGACGTTGCTTTCCACGTTGAGCACCTGAGATCCAGAAGGGCTGACCACAACATCTGAGTCGCTGGGGTGACCTCTGCCTTGCCTCGCCTTTTCAGCGAAGCAGTAGACCTGTTCATCAACGGTTTTGGGGCTGATGTCGTCATCCAGGACATGACGGCGGCAGATGCCATTATCTGCTGAGCCACAACTGTACAACCCCTTGTCGTAAATGTTCTCCACCACTAAGGCGATGTTATGATTGTCCACCCTGCCACCACCGCCGGTTCTCGTCAGTTTCTGGTCGCAAGTCTCGTTGGCAAGCAGCGGGCCCGTGTGGTACTCTGACAACTTCGTAAGGTTGGGGGCGAGGGCGTAGATTCTGTTCACAGCACCGACGTAGATGACCCCATCCAGCGTCACCATGTTCTGGATTGGGAAATCTGCAGTGAACGTTGGGAGCTCGTAGGTAACCGAGAGGTTGAGTTTGCTTGTCTCGGATGATTTATCGCACTGGCCCTGCACGCTGGGACACAAGGCCCACAGCAACATGATGGCATGAAGCAAATGGAGATTCATCCTGTTCCAGAATTAAAAGACATGAGAAATGAGTTAGTAAAACATCCCAGCTGCAACAAAAATAACTAAAACATTCATCACAGATATCTCTGAATAGGTGGCCTCAATTGTCTGGAGTCTGAATTTTGAGAAAAAGCTGCAATCTGTACTGATTAGAGACTACTGAGGAGAAATAAGACGGACACTGGAATCCCTTTTTTTATACTCATAAATAGAACTGCGTCAGGGAGCAAAGCCTGGGTTTACTCACTTCACCACAAACAGCGAATCTGCTCACACTCAAGTGACTGCAGCATTTGTGGTGAGACAAAGCTTTAATATCAGTCTCTTTATCACAGACACTTCCACATCTGACTCCACTGACCCGAGACCCACCAGCAGCAAGACTTGGGTGAGCACTTCTGTGGTGCTCAGCTCTGTTCCCAAGTGACCACAGCACAAGGCAAAGCAGTGAATCACCCAGAGAGAAGCCCGCTCTGACTGCAACGCAACCGCGGGACTAAGTTTAGACAGCAAGAGCCCAAGGGAGAGGAGATAAACTCAATTAAAACAAAAGAGGCGGGACGGAGAAGGCAACGGGGACCATCCAGCAAAATGATAAATAACCCCAGCAACTAAATGGAAGTCCACTGGGAGATGCTTTTAGTGAAGGGAGGGAGAGTGAAGGCAGGGGGAGAGAGTCACACCAGAGAATTTGCAAAATGTACATCTGCATGCTCCCTATCTGGATGTGGTTTTAACACGCTCCCCAGATGTAAACCAAAACAAGGCAGTAACATCCAGCACAGTAAGTTTGGGTTTTATATTCATGCCCACAGCTATGCATAAATTCACTGGGATACCCTGTGTGCACATTCTGACTGGTTTATGACTGATGTCTCACTGTTAGCAGCTCGTTTGTTTTTTTTTAGAGCAAGTCTGATGGAGGGAGCTCAGTTTTTATCCACAACATATGCAGTGTTTTTTAAGACATCAACACAGACAGGTGCTTGCAGCCAGAAAACAACAAAAAAAAGACAACACTAATACTTGCCAATGACTAAATTATAAATATTATAGGCACTGCTGAAGGAGGAAGACAGTGATATCAGAGAATAAGGACAAAACGCATGGTTTGTTAAGAACCAAAAACATAATTTAAGATTCTATTATAGAGTACTGAAGCCAATTGTCTCTTATTAAGGGGAGGAGGATAAGCAGTGACTTGTTTTGGTCTAAAATTATGAGTAATAAGGGGCACATTATTGCGCACCTGCAGCAAAAAAAAAAAAAAAATCACTTTATCGCATGCTTGTTTTTTCAAAGGACAAAAGGCGAGGGGAGAGCAGTGAAAATGTTTTCTGTTTGAAAGGAAAGTGACTCATGGCTAAAGGTCTCAGAAAACACACATGGGAAGTTGGTTGAAACGGTGTTTGGAGCCAGAAAAAACATTTCAAAATAGGCAGTGATATCCAGAGGAGGAGGGTAAGAAGAGGGGCTCTGGAGTTTTAGGGTCAGACACCATCACTGCGTTTTTACGCATGAAAATACAGTTTGAGTCAAATGAAGAAAGTAAAGAAAGTGGAAGAATTGCTGATGAACTCACCTGTTAGTGAACAACAGTGCCGTATACGTTCCGTTGATTCAAATCATATTCCACTGGTCTCTCTCTCAGGAGCCGGACTTCTTGACTTTCTCATCAACTCCAAAGTGATTACTGCGCACTTCTTTTCTTAGTTGGAAAAAAAAACACCAAAAAAAGAAAATTTGTCCAGATGATTTTGCTGTTTTCAAATAGTTACAGACAATTCGGTGTCACTCTGACTGAAACGTGTGGAACTCAGCTCTGACTGCATCCAGCAGAGAGCCGCTGCTGCTCACATCTCAGCTCCGCTCGTGGCGCGTAAAGCCCCGCCTTCTTCTCTCCACGAGGACTCTGTGACGCTTCCAGGTGCTGCAGAGGCTGGAGATCAGGCCAGACACACTCAGGTAAGACAGCAAAGCTGGAAAAACTGAGAAAGTTGCACATTATGAGCTGATTGTCATGTGACACAGAATCATCAACTGAAAAAGAACGAGTCTGATTTTTAGAGAAGCTCTGTTGAAGTGTCTCATTTCTGCACTACAATATGTGAGACTTCATAGAACTTAAATTAGTTTGATGTCCATTCTGCTCCAACACTAAAGGAACAGAAAATTCCTCATTACCTAACACAGAAAACGGGGTAACTTAGGTTTGGAGGGATTTATCCAGCATTCTTTTGTCTAAAGAAAGGATTTACCAATAAAACTTGTTTACGGCACTCTTTATTTTAACTGTGTCTGGCAATAAAAAGTGTTTTAAAGTTCTGAATAAAACAAAAACAAAGACAAGGTCAAATAAGCTCTTTGTGGAGGAAGGTCCTTTCTTCTCCAACTTCCACCTGACTCTGCTCCAGCGCCCCTCTGAGTCACACTACTGGTCTTCATGTTAAAACGTCTCACTCAGCCATAAATAATGAGCTAAGTTATAAAGGCTAAACCAACTGTGAGTATGTGTGTGTGAGAGTGTGTGTGTGTGCGTGGTTGAGTGTGTGTGTGTCAGCAATGAATCACAGCGGGCAGCACAAAATATTTCTTTGTCCCGCTTCCTGAAAGGAGGGCACTTGGAATGAAGACTGGAAAGCCTGATAACAGTGTGTGGATGCAGAATTAATAGGTATGGAGCTGCTGAGCAGCAGCACTGTAGCTGTTTGCACTCACTTTCTGACAGACAAAGTGACATGTGATGGCTTAATGAGGCAAACAGACAGCGGAAGAGTGTGTTCAAGTGGGGAGATGAGTGATCTGATGGGATCTGTGACATCTTCAACTTCAAACTGGACTCTTTAAGTGTGTCAGTCATGCCAACTATAATTACAGAGGGAAAGTCTCCTCTGTGCTCCTCTTTTTCTAAATGTTAACAATAGAGGGTCCAGCTGCTTGCAGAGTGTCTGCTACATTCATCATAAGAAGCTTTAACTTGTTGATTTCCCAGAGGATGAGATAGTTACCGCTGACATCATGCCAGAGAGTCTTCACCCTGTCACTGTGTGCATCATCAGCTTTTATTTCACCTCTAAGGACCGTGGAGCAGGAATCCTCCCTTCTGATGGTGAGTTACGATGAATGAAATTGTAAAAAAAAAAAAAGTTTAAACAGTTAGAGCCCACATTACAAAGACAGAGGAAGCTGCAAAGTGGATCAGATTGTTTTTAAATCAGTACTCAGACAAAATGAACAGATCAACATGTTGCTTATTTAATCTGCACAAAAACCAAATGGTGAAGACAATCATGTTTTTGCTGGGGATTATGTGGTGAACTGTTTCCTGGCATGATACAATGCCTTTGTGGAGCCAGTAAAATTACCAAGCAACCAGCAGACACTCCGGTAAGAAGGATTCGCAAACTTTGAGTATAATGAAGATCAAATTTAAGCGCAGAAGTACAGCTGTTGTACTGGATGATGTTGTACGTGGAGAGACTAAGGTAGAAAAGGTCACCGGTTTCAGTCTCAGTAGCAGACTGATGAGCAAGACATTTCACAACACGCTTCTTCGCTCACTGTATTCACTGTTTGTTGGAGGAACTGTGCTTTGCCATACCTCAGGGCATTTCTGACGCACTTGCCAAGGGGTGTGTCTGTCCCAGGGTGTGTGCCTGAATGTATACCCCGAGGGGTGTGTCTGTGCGGCTCCTGTGGTGGTGAACTCTGTTTTGGCTCAGGCCCTTGTCCTAGTGGGAAGCAGCTCCAGAAGAAGAAGAAGAAGAAGAAGGAGAAGGAGAAGGAAAAGATGGAAGAGGTTGGTCTGGCGGTGAACCTCACACATGCTCGTATACAGAATGTGGAAACCTCAAAGTATGACATGTGCTGCAGGAATGATCTGCATCCTGCAACCACAACAACTGCGACACGACAACTATGTTCTATTTTCTGTTTTCTCTTCATGTGGTTTAAGGCTTTCCCTATAAGTGAGATAAAAAAAATGAAAGAGAAAGTTAGCCTGTTTGCTCATGTGTGAGAGTGTGAAGTTGTATTAAAGGCTCAGTTTACTGCAAAATAACGGATATGTTATGTAGCCAAGAGTATGTAGACTTCTTTGTTTGAAAAAACGGGTGTGTTTTTGGGCTTGTGCTATTGTTTTAAATGAATTAAACTGTTATTCATTCTTGCTTTACACAATAATGTGCATCTAACCTTGTGGTATGAACATGACATGACATGACACAGCTTTAGTGAACCAGACTTTACAGCTAAACATCAACTCAACCTTAATGGAAGTAAATTCCTGCAGCCAGATTCCACAATCTGACTAAATCCCTTCAAAGAAAAATCACTGTTGTATCAATGCCATCATTCACTCATACATTGGTTGTAACTGTTCACTTATGGTTATGTAATGTGTCTGCAAACTATGGGAAGAAAACAAAGCTGTTTGCATTGATAGAGTCCACCAAAACACAATGAGAATGCTTTTTTTTTTTTTTTTTTAGCAAATTGCTTAAACTGACTCTTTAAAGTCTTCAGCAGTTCAATGTGCGACAGTCTGACTTATTATGGCGCCATCTGCTGGTACTTATAGTAAACAGGCATTGTTAGTCCCCTGAGACTGGAAGGGAGCCTGCAGCCCGGCTAATTGACAAGCCACTGAGTGGAAAACGAAGAGACTAATCTCACGGACAAAAGTGAGGGATAATCAGGCAAGAGCAGGGCTGCACTCTGTCTTGATTTTACTGTTTCTGTTAACCGTTCTTGTGCACCTAAACTTCGTCCAGTGGAGGTTATTTATCACCTGCGGGGTCAATACAAACGCTGGTTCACTGCTGATCAGGACAGGAAACTCTGATTGATGCTGTTGACCCATTCGAGGTCCTGGCTGCTTCATTCTGTAGATGGACTCGTGCAGTTTCTTTAGCTCGCAGGCAGAGCGGTGATTAGGAGTGTGCTGCCTCCATCATTCTGTCATGTGTGTCTTCATAAACGGGCTTCTTCAGTAGGATCACTGCAGCTCATGGCAGATGATGGTACTGAGCTTCATAAAAGGTTACATGAACACAGGAGGTCAGGGGAGGCTTTTCAGCTGTCAATACTGTACTGTAGGAACTCTTAGTCAGTGTCTTGGCTCTGCAGTCTGTAGGAGAACAGAGGTGGGATTTTTCTAGCAAACAAAAACTTGTTTCTGTTCATTAAAGCTCACCTGTCTTGCAGCTCCTTTGAATGTAGCTTACTTTTTGCTACTGTGTGATCATGTGTAGTTCTGCTGATGCTTGTATATTCTTTTTTCCATCCTTGCATATATACAGTGTACAGTTAATTCTCCTTTTGCTGCTGATTTTTATAGACTATCCACGTAATTTGCAGTAGATAGATAGAAATACACATTATGTATAGTAACACACAATTACAAGTGCAAATAAATAAATAAATAAATAAATTGGTGGTTCTTAATCTGCAGCACAATCTATGTACCCTTTGGGCTAATATACAGCATAATACAGTGTATCGTTGTCTTTGTCTTATTCAGCACACAGCTACACTTCTATTTGTGCAGGGGTTTTCTTGCATATAGGAATTTTGGTTCCTCCCCAAAGAAGTTTTAGCCAGCACCAAAGGAAAATCAGCAGCAACGAAATGACAAGAATTGTGACATAAAGCAGAAATTTTAACATTTAAACAGGTTTGTTACTTGGGGTTAAATAAGATACCAATGCTTACTGTTGTTCATAGTCACCCCCCACAATTTTTGTTCAAATCTTACTGTGTGTATTGTGGTAGCATTTCCAAACAAATCTTAGAAATAGTGTCTGCTTTTCCGAAAATAACAGCATTAAAGTAAGTTTACAGCATATAAGATTTTCTTTTAGAAATGCTTGTAAAATAATGGAACCTCAATTTCTTACAGCTGGTAGATTGTTATTAGAAACCCAAGATATTGTGCTGTATCACTCTTTAACACTGTTATTCTTCTATAAACGTCTGTCTTACTGACATGACGCTCACATTGTTTCCTGCCTAAACTGAACCTTTTTATCACCTTTTGCTTACAGCACGACCTCACCACTCATCAAACCACCAAGCTGGAGGGCCAGGCTGCAGATTTTCATATACAGACAGACAGATTGGTGCTCTCATCTTCCATTACCTGTTTCATAGATACTAGAACTCCTAATGAAAAAGGAAATCAAAAGATCACAATCTCCTACATCACAGGAAATGGTTAATGCAGCAGACAGGCTGGACTGTCAGTCAATAAGTTGTGTGTTGTGTTCATATCTGCCAATCTGTCCCATCATGGATGGAGTCACAACACAGCTCATATCAGAACTGACTAAAGGCCATCAGTGGTGGGATCAACATAATAAAGGAGGAATGGTCTCAGTTCACAAACAGGCACACAACAGCTTCTTCTGAATTTCAACCACATCATGGCGACAAAAGAAGCTCAGCTGGTTTAATATGGTTGAGTTGCAGCTTTTAAGACATACTGACATTTATTTTTTTTTACATGCATCTCAAACTAATCACGAATGATGTTTTTGACTTGCTATAATGACACATCTGTTTGGTCTATAAACTGTAAAATAGACTGCTCAAATAGTTTAACTTCAGTTACTGTAAAATCCTCCAGATCCTTATTCCTTTTGACATGCTGTAATGTATTGGATTCCTCCATTTCCATCTCCCTCTGCTGTGTCAGTCTCAGCTTGTTAAACAGTTTATGGGAAGCCTTCGAGAGCTCTTAAACTCTCCCGTCCTGGTTGTTTATCTGTGGAAGCTGGGACTAAAATAAACTACACTCAAGTGCAAGTGAATTCACAGCACAGCAGCTGGACTATATGCTGCTTGTGCATTTCACATACATATGGATGTTTGTGCTCCTTTTCCTATTTTTTTCTGACAAGAATTTGCTGGAA